GCTTCTTCTTAACTCTTTTCAGGACTTTTGGGGTCTTTTGGACCCCAGGCCATTTAGTTTAGCTGACAGGTATTGTTTTTAGATTTTTAAAGATTTTATTTTTAAATATAAAAAGAGGGGCATTTGTGATGCATTTGGAGCCAAACATATGTCAACTTATCAGAAAATTTGTTTAGCATAGTATAAAAGCCTATAATGAATACCATCAATTATTTTGCACATATTCTTTCTTGGGGTCCAATGGACCCCCAAAGACCTTCTACGAATGGCGACATGAAAGTCCTGAATAGGGCGAAGATAACTAACAGTGCTGGCTGCGCCTCTTTCTGACATTACTGACAGCCCTGCTGCTGCTGTAACAGAGACTAAATGACACCATTCAGTTGTAACTTAAACTTGGGATTGGGAATGCCCTGGCTGCTCCCAAAAAATCTCCGTGTAAAGTGTCTTCATTTAACGTTAGCAGATTTTCCTTGTTTCAAAAAAAAAAAAAAGAAAGGAGAAGAAAAAAACACACTGTGGCAAGTATCACATAATCATTAATACAGAACCCTCTTGATGGTTATTTACCATCTAGTTGGCATGTTTCATCAGCTTCTTTACCTAATAACATCAACTTGTTGTCATCAAAATGTTAAATGATGATGTAAAGATAATGGCTAAATCTACGAGTTAAGATAAAACATATCAGTAACTCTTTTACGTTCAATTTACTGCACGTTTGAATTTGACACTCACTGTCTCAAAGTGTTCATAACATAGACTGCATAAAAGATGGACGTAGCTACCATGACGTCACCCGTTGGTTTCTGCACTGAGAAAATGAAGCCAGGCTTTTGCTACTTCCTGGTTGACATCTTGGGTTTTTGGAGCCAGTGACGCAAAAATCGGGGGGTCGGAACCATAGGAGCAGTGATTGGTCGGACGGATTGAGAGGCAGGCCCTCTCTGCCCGCCCACATTTACCGCCTTCTGCTCGCTTCGTCTGTATGGCCGCTGCCAACTGTCAATCAAGTCAGCCCCGCCCTTTGCCCCGCAAAATTTTGACAATTTTTTAAAAATTCAGTATTGATTTATTTTCAGATTGGCCATCTGATCTTATCCACCCACTCACGATCAGTGGGACAAAGGTGGAGTGAGTGGAGAGCTTCAAGTACCTGGGTGTCAACATCACGCAGGACCTGACGTGGTCCTGTCACATCAGCACCCTGGTGATGAAAGCTCGACAGCGTCTCTACCTCCTCCGACGCCTGAGGGACTTTAAGCTCCCTCTCATGGTGCTCAGGAGCTTCTACATCTGCACCATTGAGAGTGTTTTGGCTGGGAGTATCACCACCTGGATGGGCAGCAGCACCCAGCAGGACTTCTTGGCCCTGAGGAGGGTGTTCAGAACCACCAGAACCACCCTCCCCAACCTGCAGGACATTTACACTAAACGATGCAGGTTAAAGGCCAGGAAGGTTGTGGGTGAGCCCACCCACCCCAGCCACAGACTGTTCTCTTTGCTGCTGTCAGGGCGGCGTTACCGCTGCCTGAAGGCAAATACAGAGCGGATGAAGAGGAGTTTCTTCCCTCAGGCTGTCCGCCTGCTGAACCTGAAACAATAGACTCAATAGACAATCAAACCGGTCACTTTGCACTTTTCTCCTTGTATATATGCACATGTATATAGTATTATTTTCTCTATTTGCTTATTCCCCTTTTGCACTGTTTGGAAATTTGATTTTTTTATTTCTGCTATTTCAATCTCTCTCTCTCTCTCTCCGTATATATATATGTACATTCATATATACATTCATTCCTTATTCTTATTTATTCTTATTTATTTATCATATTATTATTGTTTCGGTGTGGAACAGGTACACAACGCATTTAGCTGCACGTTACACCGTGTATAACTGTGTTTGTGACCAATAAAAGACCTTGAACCTTGAACCTTTAACCAAACATCTCTCACATTAAAATCCTAACAGGCTGCATTTGTAATTGTTTTCCCTCTCTCTCTCTTGCGTTCCTATGTTCTTCCCTGCTAACCAGCATGTGAGAAGAAAGAGTTCAAGATAAAGTAGATCGCTCAGATTGGGGGAAATCGTCATGTATAATTGCCACATCGTCTGTCTTATCTGATCTCGCAAGGCTGTTATTGTAATGAAACACCAGTGGAGATGAGCCAGGAAAGGTGAAAATTACACAGCATGAGCCATTCATGGCACAATCCATCCCTTCATTGCACTGGGTTTTCCACCCAGTCAGTCCAGGAAGTATAGAGGGGCATGTGAGGGCTGGATGTGGGCTGGAGGAGGAAGGCAGGAGAGCTGAGGTAACCACTCTGATAAGTGATGCATCTCTGCACTGCATTGTGCATTGTGCTTCGACATGACAACCCCATTGTGAAGCGGCACTGTAGAGTTAAGACGCAACAAAGGATGATTATTTTCTGAGATTGAAAGGTCAGGTTCCAGGCTGTTGGATACTTTGAGGAGTGTGAATTACAGTGCATCGCCAAATTACTATAATTAGTGATGAATACATTATTATTTTTGGTCAGTTTTGCTTGACGAGGCCAAATCAGTTGCCTGCATACCTTTGGTGCACTCAGTGATTGCTCACTGTCATGGCTTTTAGAGGCAAACTCTGTTTTTATTTAAATGGAACCCCTTTGTGCCCTCCCATGGCATTAGGTATAGTGGCGCTTTACTTTTTCGCCTCATAATTTCATCAACAACTTAAAACTTCTGTCAGTTATTGTTTTTACTTTCAAGTCAGTATCAGTGGATGTTAAAAGTTAAATGCTGGCACATTTTTAAGTTGCAGAAGACATTTGATCCATCTGATACATTTGAACTGTATTTCACAATAACTTTCTCCAAATGTAAGGTCTAATGTCCAAATGTCCTCTAGATGCGTGGGTCTGGAACAGATGTCTGATGCATTTTTTGCATTCCAACTCAGATTAAAGAAGGAATTAGCGGTTGAATGTAATGGAAAGTAACAGCAATGGTTTGAATTATGGTTTTGGACTGAATGATGGATATCACTCATGTGTTTTAAACTGAGGTTTATTTACAGACACAACAAAGCTACATGTAGGACAAACAACAGAGGCCCCTCATCCTGCCAAAAGTCATCCTTTTAATGGGATATAAAATAGTGTGTAAAGTAATTAGAGTTGATTTACTGGCTGTTTTACGAGACGTACTCGAAGCTCCGCTACGTATGCTCAGTGATGACAGTCCACATCAGCTGCGGTGTTTTATTTCTTAGCTTGTCTCAGGCAGTAAAGCATCTTTTGTTTCATCCCTCACAGTTTTTAGGAAGGTTATGATGCTAGAGCCACCGGTGCCTCTCTCCTCCAGCGCTGTGGGCGCTTCGCTGACCATCTCCGACGAGCTCTGGCTCTGGTTACGGAGTTGTCGGGCTCGGGCAGCAGGGACGGTGATGAAGCGGCTGACAACATTGATGTGGTAGCTGCGCAAAGCCGTCAGTTTTGTGACACACTGATGAAAGGCCTGGTTTAGACGCTCGCAGGCCTGCTGCTCGACAAAACTCCTTAGGGAGGGCTGCAAAGAGATGTCCTGGATCAGCCGCTTGTGAGCAGGTACCATGTAGTTCCTCATGCGGATTAGAAAGGAAGCTGAAAGAAGGCAGAGTCATCACAGTGAGTCCTTCAGGTTTATTTCAGGCATTGTTTTAAACATTTAACAGATAAATTATCAGCCGTCTTACCACTGTTTCCTTCATGTTTGACTCCCAAAAGTTCATCAAAGCAGTGCAGCAGACTGCTTTGTGCAGCACTCCCTCCTGAATACTCCATCGGCTCTGTCTGGACCCCTTCATATATCAGCCCATTTGGCATACAAGGGTTGTCTCTCCACCTATGCATAAACACATTGATGTGATAATCGGATATGCGTATAGATTTAAAAAACAGGTTTAACTGTGCAAATAAATCATCAATAACAAAGTTGATTTCTATACCCAGACAGGTAGATCCTCATCTTGCCATAGAAGACTGCAGGTTCTACGTACACTTAAGATAAAAACACATAAATCAAAATATTAGGATGAATTTTAACACTTTTAACATCTATGTCTGAGTCACTACCTTGCATCAGTTTGAGTGCATCGGTCATGTCCTGCATCGACTGGCTGATGCCCTCCAGGGCTCTGGCCACTGCCTCTGTGTCACCAGACCTGACACCATTGATCACAGTGGGAATGTTCTGCAACACAGATACAGAATGGCTTTGTTTTTTATAGTGACTTTTATAGCTTTCAACCCACAACCCAAAAACTATTAATCCTCTAGCAATTAAATAGACACGAATGGATATAATTTGAATACATCTTCACCCTCAGTGCAGGAGCTGCTGCCAGCTCCACCAGAAGAGTGACCAAGAAGAAACCTCGGACACTTTCTCCACCTGGGATGCTGACCAGCAACTCCAGGTTGCTGTGTGATGCAAGCAAACCAATAAGCCTTGTGTGCATGACGATATTGGGGAACATTATGTGAAGGGGAACAGATTTAGAATGTACTCACTCCATATCAAAAGGACTGCCACAGGAAATATAAAAATAGGCATGAAAAAGAAAGAGGACAAATTTATACTTGACATGTGTGTTATGTAGGATGTGATAATACTGCCTGCAGGAGATTAGTGGCCTTACCCCTTTGGATCTTTCTTCTTCCAGTTAGCCAGTACTCCATCTGCATGGGTGAAGATTGGGGGAAATCCCAAACGCTGTGACACCTCCCAGAATGGAACAGCCAGGCTACGTGGCAGCATCTTAGAAGAAGGTGATTTGAAATGGACAATCAGTCATTTAAATTGTCTGTTGCGGGGTAACCGGCAGCAGTCAGTGAGAGAAGTAAAGAGTCAATGTTACGAAAACAAAACTTGACAGATGCAGAGTTACCTCAACTGTGTCTTTCTCTCCCTCCTGCCAGACATAGGCCATGGCCATCATGCTAAGGGCCACGTGGGCCAGCCGCAACTCTCGGTGCTTCTGCAGAAACTCGCTGCTCAGCAGTGGCATCTGGACAGGAATATCAATTCTGAAACATGGCTCTATAAACACAGTGAACTCTCCTTGTCAGTTCATTGTCCTCGTTTACCTTGTTAACGTGGGAGCGCAACTCGTGAGACTGCACAAGCTCTGGGATCCGCAGTGCTATATCCATCCATTCCTGGTAGTAAGGTGGAAGCTCTTCCTTTGAATGTGACAGTTCAATTGAATTTATTTCAATTTTGTTTATATCGCGCAAATTCACAGCATCTGTCATCTCACTGTGCTTAACATAGTAAGGTAGAGGCCTTAGAGTGCATCGTTACAAAAATGTGCATCAACGTTTTGAATTGCATGGCTTGTGCTTTATGTTGTTATACTATATGCACGGTGTCCATACATTTGAGAAAAGGTTTAAACAAAATATGACAATGTAAGTACCTGCTGTTTGTCTGAACATAGTTCAAAACACAAAACAAACAAGGTCAATGCCAAATCTCAACTCTGAGTTTACAGTTTTAGAACAGCTACATTATAAGCACTCTTTTGATGTGTCTGCCTGTATACGAATCAGTAGCATTTCTGAATATCATTCAGAAAGCCTGTATCTGTCTGTGACTGACTGCAATTATTAAAAACAAAATAACAGCAGAAGAACTTTTCCACCTACCAGAGGCTCTGGAAGGATGAAACCGAGTTCCTCAGAGACATAGTAGGAGTCTAGAGAGAAAGGAGCTTTGGAGTCAGCAGATGCCATAGAGAAAATAACACAAAGTCAAAGACAGCAGAATCTGAACGGTTCAGAGACGACCCCAACTCTGACTGGACTCTGACACAAACTTTAAAGCTGTTGTCAGTGGTTGCTTACACAACATTTATACTAGACTCCTACTGTTGCACAATTCCAAGTAAAGTTCAACAAATCAATACCGAGCATCACTCTGTAAATCATTCTGAAGGAAGTGTAACACTTATGTTGTTCCACAAGCATCCAATAGGAAAAGGGGATCAAACACTAAAAACCGTTGCAAGTTATTTTGGAAGTATGTACAAATAATTACAACAGAAAAATGCTGCTTGTACAAATGCAGAATATCAAATGGAGACCTTTGTGAAGTTTACCTTTCTTTTGGAAAACTGGAAAAAGAAAAGGCAGCCTAGTCCAAAGAAAACTTGATTATTGGATGAAATTATTAAATGGAATTCTAAGAATGTGTGTAAAAAGAAATATTAAGCGCTATCTCCACCTTTATCTAGTCCCTTGTCCACATTCTGACACCAAATCTCATGTATTGTTGCATATTATAAATTAGTTTTACTTGTTGGTGTTTGTGTTTCAAATTTTGATTTATATTTGAGCACTCTTCTCATACAAGCAGAAACATCACAGTTACATAAGCTCCCACATATCATACCTTAGTGTTTTTCTTATCATTAGTTGATTGACTGCACATTTGCTATAAAAACATATAAGTTAATGTAAGTTAAGATTATTTGTGTTTTCGTCCATGCAGTTATTCCCTTTTTTAAAATTTCCATTAGCCTTTACTCGATTCTGTATATAATTGCTCAGAATTAAAGAGACGATTAAGGAAATTTAGACTGTCAGCCTCACCTGGTGGAGCAGACTGAACACTGCAGGAGTTCAAACCAGCTCTACACTGAACCTTTATGTATAAAATGATGTCCCTCTCCAGTCTCAATATCATTCTGTGCTGCAGAACACCATCTTTTTGAATTGTCATTAGGGAACATTGAAGAAAATGGAAATGCAATAGAATATAAATCTGTTGAAGCGCCACGATCCTTGTTTAAATCAGCTTAACAACTCGAGGCATTTCTTCCACAACAACAGCAGTACAGTTTTGGCATGAATGCTTCATAAACTTTGCAAGTATAAAGTTCAATTGTAATTTGATCCTTGCGTTCCTGGAATAAAGACAAAGTGTACAAACACTGAACCGCTGTGTTAGACTGTGAAGTTTGGAGCAACACCAAGAGACGAAGGAAAAGTATAACACTATTCTCCAGATTGTGGTTTATTGTGGATATAAAGACTCTCCTTAACTACTTCCTTTGAGGCTGTGGATGAAGTTTGTGCATCAAACGGGTCAAAACTAATGTTCACTGATGGTGAAGACTCTCGCTCAGTAGGCCTTCCACTATCTGTGCACTATGGCTGTTAGTACCTGTGAGTGGTAAGTAGCTTTTTATTTATCACACAAGTAACTAAAATCTTAAATACTTAA